GTAATCCTACCTTGTACAACAGCAGGCCTTCCTGTTGTGGCTGAGTCACATTTTCTCTGGGTATGGTGGGGATGGAGTTGGCCTCAGTCCAGCTGGCTACAGTAAGCCACTTGAGCTGCTGTGTTGCTCACGGGGCAAGGGTTTGCCTCATGTGCTGTTGAGAAACCCAGCTACAGCCACTGTGAGCTTCCTGGCAGATGGGGGCCAGCAGTCAGCCTAGCTGTCTGCAATCAGCCTCTGTCTCGCCTATACCAAATGCCAGGGCTTGCTTCCTATGCATCTAGCTAAGACTCCTGGATGCAAGAACTCCAGACACACTATGTAGGCTTATCTCTTCCCCTTTTCAGAGCAGGAGTCATTTTGATACTAGCAAATTAGATGGAGAATGTTATAACTGGCTCCAGCAAGTGATGGCTGTCTAGGCTGGGGGAGGACAAGAAAAATGGTGGCCACCAGTATTTGTTCCTAGAGAACTCTCTTAAAGATCCCTGCCCCTCCAGCACAAGTTTTAAGATTAGTAAATAAATCTCCTTTATGTATACCCCAGGTGCTTTGCAAATTACTATTTCTATGCTGGGTCTCAGGCCAATTTATTTAGCATGCTGTCTCTTTAAGGGTGAGGATTTTCTCTGCTGCTGCCCTCTGGCTCTCCCAGAATTTATCCTTGTTGATTTTCAAAGCCAGACATCTTCTTAGTGCAAGTCCTTAGGGCTTGGGTTACCCAATGTGGGGTCTAATCCCCTCACTCCTCTGTGCTTGTGATTTCTCTTCCACTTGTGAGTATGTGCTCCAGGGGTTTGCTTCTCAACTGCATCTCTCTCTCTCACCCTTATCCCTGTAGCCTTTTCTCTTTGAGGAGTTGTGGAATATCTGGTCTGCCAATTTTCAGTTATTTGCATAGATATAGTTATTGCCTTGGAATGGCTGTGGAATGAGGGGCGCTCAGGATCCTCCTACTGTACCATCTTCTCCATCTGTCCTGTTGCAGTTTGATGGACTTAACATATAGAGAACATTCCATCTCTTTGAGTGTTAAGACTAGGTTTCCTTGTTGACTTTTTTTTTAAGGTTTTGTTTATTCATTGGAGACACACAGAAAGAGAGAGAGAAGCAGAGACACAGGCAGAGGGAGAAGCAGGCTCCACACAGGGAGCCTAATGCAGGACTCAATCCTGGGACTCCAGGACCATGCCCTGGGCCGGAAAGCAGGCGCCAAACCACAGAGCCACCCAGGGAATCCCCCCATGTTGATTATCTGTGTGTATGTTCTATTAATGTAAATGTGATACTAAAGTCCCAGAGTAGGATTGCACTGCTGTTTTATTTAGGTGCTTCTGTGCTGGTGCATAAATATTTACAAATGTTTTCTCCTTTTGCTGGATAGACCCCTTTATGTAATGCCCTACAGTCTTTGTTTTAAAGCCTATTTTGTCCTAGTATAGCTCTCTCAGCTTTCTTCTGGTTTCCACTTACAGGGAATATCTGTAATTAGTTTCTTATAGGCAGTGTATAGATGGATGGGTCTTGTTTTGTAGAGTGGCTGGATTCAACAACAATATCTTTTGATTGGGGAATTTTGCATTTATATTTAAATTATTTAGAGATATATACTTACTGCTATTTTGTTGTTTTCTGGCTGTTTAGTAGTTTCTCTGTTCCTTCTTTGGCTCTCTTCCTTTGTCATCTGATGACTTTGGTTAGTGTATGCTTAGATTCCTTTCTCTTGTGTATCTACTTGTGGTTTTTGCTATGTTATCTTAAGGCTCACATATAACAACTTATATCTACAGCAGTCTTTTGTAAGTTGATAAGCTTGAAGGCATTCATAAGCTCTACATTTGTACTCCCCACCCCTCCATTTTATGTTTTACATGTTACATTTTACCTCTTGCGTAACCCTTAACCTTCACACTAGCATTATAATTAATCCACTACCTTTGCTATATTGTTGTCTTTATCAGTGAGATATATAGCTTTTTTATGTTTTGCCACTATTTCTTAAAAAAAATTTATTTATTCATGAGAGAGACAGACATAGGAAGAGGGAGAAGCAGTTTCCTTGGAGGGAGCCCAATGCGAGACTTGATCCCAGGATCACACTCTGAGTTAAGGGTAGACGCTCAACCACTGAACCACCCAGGCATCCCTGTTTTGCCACTATTTCACTCCCTTTCTTTTCAGCCTAAAGAAGACCCTTTAACATTTCTTATAAGGCAAGTTTTGTGATGATTAACTCATTTGGCTTTTGCTTGCCTAGGAAACTCTCCCTCATTTCTAAGGGATAATTTTGCCATGTGTTCTTGGTTGGAAATTTTTCCCCCTTTTTAGCACTTGAACTGTATCATGCCTCTTCAGGCCTGCAAAGTTTCTGAAGAGTCTGCTGATAGTGTAATGGGGGTTTCCTTGTACGTAACAAGTTGTTTTTCTCTTGCTGGTTTTGAGTCTCTTCCTGCATTTAACACTGACATTTTAATTATGTGTCTTGGTGTGTGTCTCTTTGGGATCACTTTATTTGGAACTCTATGGGCTTCCTGGATGGTTCTTTCCTTCCCCAGGTTCAGGAAATGTTCAGCCTATATTTTTGTCCTCATCTTGTCCTCCGGGGTCTCTTAAAAAAGACTGTTAGCTACTTGATGTGGTCTCTCAGGTCCCTTCATCTACCTATACTTTTCTTCTTGCTGCTCTGATGGAGTAAGTTTTCTCTGCCCTGCTGTTGAGCTCTTCTGGTATTATTTTCTGTTTAGTTACTGTATTCTTCAGCTCTGTGACTTTTACCTGATACTTATATTTTCTGTCTCTTTGTTGAAGTTCCCACCATGTTTATCCATTCTTCTCCAAGTTTGGTGAGCATCTTTAGGACCATTACTTTTAACTCTGTGAGGTAAATTACATGTTTCTGTAAGGTTCTTTCTGAAGCTTTATGTCAGTCTTTCTCCTCTGTTTTCTTTACATCATTCCTCTTTGTGTTTCTCAAGCAGCCTATTTTCATTTTAATAGTTTCCAGAAGTTGAGGATGTGCCAAGACAGGTCAGTGTCCCCAAGGGGAGGCTCTCAGTGCTTTGATCCAGGCTAACTGGAAGTTAGACCTGGAGGCACCAACTTTAAAGAATGGACATATATATAGTCCTGTGGGAGCATAAGTTCCACTGGCCACCAGAATAGGTGCTGCCACCAATGTCTTGTGGGCAGCAGTCACAAAAATCAGGGCTCCTTTTGTGTATTACTTATCTAACCTATCTCATCATCATCCCTTAGCCCTACAGAGTTAGGCTTAAAAATGCAAACTGTAAAACCGCATATAGGACGTGATACCATTAACAAAGCTGTGTACACACACAATTTTTCCATGGAGACATATGTAAATGTATAGAAACAGGACTGGAAGGAGGCCATCCAGACACTGAAGAGTGCTAACCTCTGAGGTGGAACTAGTTAAGAGACATTTTTATCTTCTCTCATTGAGTTTTTCTTAAAATAAAAAATACTTAATTTTTCACTGTAAAAATTCACTTAATAAAGTTTATTGAAGTTGAACTAGCAAATGGCAGTAAAATTTCCTTAAATGGCAATGGATAGAAAATGTAGAGAATACAGGAAACTATTAATGGGCAATGCCCAGCAGCAGGTTTTTTTTTTTTTTAACAAATCAGTGCCTCTTACATACATATATATGCACACATTCTTTCTCCAAGGACTTTATCTTTCCCAATACATCTTACCAGAGCAGCTACTGTCTACAGTGTTAAAACACTAGGAACTTCATCCTTTCAAATGTGCAGCTATAGCACAAAAATGACTTAAAATTGTATGTTTTAAACTATTTCTTTACCTTCCACTTGGAAGTTTTAGGTTGCTCAATTTCTCCATAACTAAAAACCACAATTGATGAGGAGGGGGTGCGAGCCAAAGCAATGCCTACAAAACATCTCTGCAGGGAGTCAGAAAGCAAGGAGCCCTGGCTACTAGCGGAATACGTTTGAGCTCTCAGCTGTGCAGGGCAGCACACAAGCTAAAGCCATTTACTTCCAGGTCTGGCTATTGTAGACATATTGTTTATCTCCCCCTTCTCAAAAAACCCCACGTTTTTGTAGTTTATGACTGGCTGCTTTGGCACATATACTGTCATAAGGTCTTGACAGAATTGAGCCAGAATGCTACGTTCAAATCCCAGCTCCTCTCTAGGCCAGTAGTGTGCCCTCAGGCAAATTCCTCAACTTCTCTTGCCCTTACTGTGCCCCATCTCTGAAATGGGGACCTCCCCTGTAGGGTCACTGCAGGTGGTAAATGAACTTGTATTCTATAGCCCTCTGTAAAGTGCCTGGCATACAGGAAAGCATGAAAATGAAGTTAGCTATTATTTTAGGAAAGTTCCAGCTTTAAGAGCTGATTATTCGATGACAGTGCTGTAATTCGGACATGTCATATGTGCTCCTAGGTTATTAAAGGGTGGCTATGATGCTAAATAGGCAGATGGCCATATATTCTGAGGGCAAAGCTTGTTTCCTGGAAAAAGGCTCTCCTGGGTACACTGTCAACACTAGGTCACCCCCTCCCTAAAATGTGGTGGACCTTGAAACCTCAGAAAAATCAGGACTCCTTCAATAGGGATCATGTTCTTCTATGTATTAGTTCTTCAGATAACTTTAGGGTTTAACAAACACATAGGTGAGAGCCATCATAAAGTATAGTATCACTCTCCCTGGCATGAGACAGCCACAGCAGCAATTTAAAGAAAAAGTAAATAAAAAGTTCTGTGTGAATTTTAAGTGCACTTTGATTTTAATAGCTCTTTGCGGATACTGATAGCTGAAATAGCTTTTTGGAACAACAAGGAAGGGAGTTGTAGGATGAAGAAGTCCTCTTACTTACATAGTTTGGTGGGGGAGGGGTGAGCGCTCAATGAAACCACCCAAAGTAACTTCCTGGGCTGTGGGAGGAGTAAAGATGAGCTGTCATTTAAGAAACAGCAGCTAACCCAGGTCCTTGGGTTTGTGTTGCAGGGATCATGTACCGCAAGTCGTGTGCATCATCAGCAGCCTGCCTCATCGCCTCCGCCGGGTACCAATCCTTCTGCTCCCCTGGGAAACTGAACTCAGTGTGCATCAGCTGCTGCAACACCCCTCTTTGCAACGGGCCCCGGCCCAAGAAACGGAGCAGTTCGGCCTTGGCTCTTCGGCCGGGGCTCCCCACCACCATCCTGCTCCTCCAGTTAGCCCTCCTCTGGGCTCACTGCTGAAGGTGAAGGAGACCCTCGCGCCTCCTGCATCGTGCTTGGGGCCCTCGCTCCCCCCCGCTTCTCCTGGGTGTCCTTTGATTCTGGGGTGGGAGGGGAGTAGAATCACCCTCTTCAGTTCCTTTGCCAGTGAAAGAGCTCCGTGTGAAACATTTTTGTAAGCCCTGAATAAATTCGGTCTGAATTTTCAGTGTGTACTTAAAGGAAGGGGTGAGCAAGAGCCTGGACCCCCAACTCTGCCCCCAGAGTCCAGGTCATCAGCCCTTAGAAGGCACTGAGAGGGGCATCCAGTTGCTTCCAAGACCCCTGCCTTCCACTCCTGCCCCTCCCAGGCACAGTGTGTTGTCACCCCCGTGGCAGGCTAACGTCGCTGGGGTGGGGGTGGGGGGTGCCACGTAGGCCTCCAGGCCTGTCGCATCCTGGACATTCACACCTCTTGCTCCTGCAACCCGTTGTGGGGCTTGGGCTCGGGCTCGCTCTGGAAAGTAGCCAAGCGCACCTGGGGGGTCGCCGCAGGGGAACCGGGCGGGGGCGCGGCGGCGAGGAGGGGGCGGCGCCCCGAGGGCGCGGGGTCGGGGCCGCGCAGGTGCCCGCGGTGCCGGGCGGGCGGCAGCGCCAGGCGGCAGCGCAGCACCTGGCCGAACGCGGTGCGGAACTGCTGCGAGGACACGTTGTACAGCAGCGGGTTGACGACGGAGCTCAGGTAGAAGAAGGTGTCGGAGACGGGGAGCAGCAGCATGTAGGCGCGGAAGTAGGGCCTCGTCCAGTCGTGCTTGGGCTGCGCCGCTGCCATGATCCTCCGCACCTGGTTGGGCAGCCAGCAGACGGCCAAGGTCACCACGATCAGCCCTGCGGGGCGAGAGGGGGCGGGGACGCGGATGAGGCCCGGCGGGGCGGGGCGGGGCGGGCGCGGCAGAGGGGCCTGGGGTCAAGGGCGGGGGCACCCGGTTAAGGACCGGCGAAGGCTTTAGACAGTTATACCTGTTGGTAGCTCTTACTTTTTTTTGCCTTTTATATATTTTTTTAAGTTTATTGGTGTTCAATTTGCCAACATATAGAATAACTCCCAGTGCTCATCCCATCACGTGCCCCCCTCAGTGCCCATCACCCAGTCACCCCAACCCTCCTCCCCTTCCACCACCCCTTGTTCCTTTCCCAGGGTTAGGAGTCTCTCGTGTTCTGTCTCCCTTTCTGATAGCTCTTACTTTAAAACATGTTTTCCTTGCTGGGTATCCAGGAAGCTTACTAGGCAGGCCAGCCACCCAGTTCTGCCTTTTTTTTCAGGAAATCGACCTAGACTCTATGGAAGGTCAGGTGGGACGATACCTGTATCTTTAGACCACGTCCACATGAACACCCAGCGCTATTTTCAGGATGAGCAGAAACGGTGTCCCTGCTAAGGAAGCAGCGTAGCCAGGGACACTGGTTGCGCTTTCCATTTCAAGTGACACAAAATCAGGAAAAGCCCGGCACTGAGAATGTTGTTCGGTGTGCACACCTGTCATTCTAATGCTTCTATCTCCAACAGGACTTCTGTCCATTTTCAGATTTTTTTTTTAAGTTATATCATCTTGTCCACCCTCATGGGGGGGTGGGGGAGACAATTATCCTCAAATAATGGAAAATAGCAAATTTCAAGTTCAGCCAGTAGCATGCCTTTGCAGCACAGAGTTACAGCAGCCTCCAAAAGGATTAGGCCCTGGAAGACCACCACTTAGTGACCCATATGCAGGTCAAGAGTTGCCTGAATGAATGGACATGTCTGCATGCCCACATACTTGCATGTCAACTTACATGCTCATCTGTTTCTATGACCTCTGACAGAGAAAAGAATTTATCTACAGCAACCCCAAAAAAAAAAAAAAAGAAAAAAAAAAAAAAAAGGAACCAAGTCACCACGTCCCAAAAGAGGAAGATCAGGAATCTATGCAGGAATCAACAGATCGTCCGCTCTCTTCACCCTGAGCCAAGACACCAGAATTTAAGTTCCTGTGTGGAGAGCTGAGATCTTAAAAGCTGTGTTTTGAATTTTTAGAAATGCTTCCTCCTGCTCCTAAATTTGATTATCATAGTAAGAAGATTTGTTCACATTTCAAAAGTTTGTATTTTCTAGGAAACCACAGGGAAGCAGTGGTTGGCAATAATCTCTTTCTGCCTCTGATCCATGGTACATACCTCATTAATAGATGCTCCAGGAAACCAGCCACATTTGCACATCCAGGGTCGGCCCTCCCACACACACTCACCTGAGCAAGCCTTACCTGGGTGTCTGAGTAGCCTTAGGTATATTCTCTGCACTGAAATAAATGACCCAGCTCCCTCAACAAATCCTCCACAAATCCCAGCTGTCAGCAATGGTGGCCTGGAAACTCCCCTCCCCTGATCATTTCTTGCCAAACCTCAGCCCAAGCTTAAAACTCAAACCAATTTGCTTATTTCTTTCCTTTGAGTCGCTTCCCTGAGAACACTCAGTAAATCTAAAAATAAAATGAGCAGAGTAACATCGATCTGATGAAAAGGCCAAAAAAAAAAAAAAAAGTCCCCTTAAGTAAAGAGTATAGTCTGAATCACCTCCAGTGACAGCTGCTGAGTGGAAACAAAAATCAACATTTTCCTGTGTTTAAAAAAAAAAAAAATACTTGCATAGGAAATTGGGAGCCTTTCTCCCCCCACTTTGAGAAGCACGGATGCTTCCAGCCATGTGTGCTGTTCAAAGTAACTGGTAAGTGATTCCTCCTCATGTTTTATCAGAGATGGTCCTGACTGAAAGGTTCGTCTCGTTAACTGAAAAGCCTAGGAAGCTTCTGCATAGGGAAGCTACGAGTCTCCACTGAGGCTTCCGTTCTCTGCCACTACCTTTCACACGAGCACAACCACCTTCATCTGAAGACTTAGTTCCCAGGATATGGAAATCGAGTGCGGGGTTTCAGATGTGTGCTACCTGCTCTGTGGGAAGCTTCAGGAGGCAAGAGTCTAGCAAGGTGACAAGAACCCACTTGTACTGACTCGGGTTGAACCTAGCACAGCTTTTCAAGCCCATGGGGGAAAAGGCAGGGAGATAAAGGGCTGGGGTTGTGGGGCGAGTTACGAAGTCCTTGTGCTTCCATCCTGGCTTTGGCCCTGTTCTACTGAGCTCCTGTCTGCATGACCCTTCTTGTTACCTTCACCCCCTTTGCTGGTATCTGTTTGTCCTTGACTGACCTTCCCATCAAAATAAGTTTAGTAAAAAGCAAGACCGAGTATGTCAGGTATGAGGCAAGGGATGGGAGCAGTTGAAGAGTTGTGGCCTGACTTTGCAGTCTTAGCCAGGAGAAAATTTTTCTGCAATCCAAGTGAGCTGAGGTCAGTAAGCTGGGGGAGCCTTATTCTGAACAAGTTGCTGAAAATAGAGACTGGATCCAAGATTCTCCAATGATAAGGAAAGGGGGAATCTCAGCTTTGTGGGTGTACGGTAGCAAGGCAGGATCGCAAATACAGACCCGGAGAACAAGAGCAGAGTTAGAAATACGCAGGGATGAAAAACTGGGCATCAGAGGGGCGCCTGGGTGGCTCAGTCGGTTAAGCACCCGCCTCTGGCTCAGGTCATGATCTCAGGAACCCGGGATGAGCCTGGGTCAGCTCCCTGCTTCTCTCTCCCTCTCCCCCTCCCCCTGCTCATGCTTTCTTTCAAAAAGATAGAATCATTTTTAAAAATATTAGGCATCAGAAAAGTCTTTACATATAACCAAGAATGATGTAAAGTTCCAAGTTTTCCCTATGTCAGGCTCTGTGCTAAGCCCTCCGTGCTTTTTTTTCCCTGTGCATTTGTCACTTCTGACAATACCATGGTGAGACCCAGTGCTGTGACTATCTTCATTTTACAGAGGAGGAAGTTGAGGCTCAGGTCAGTTGCCCACATCCTGCAACTGGGACATGTGCTTGCCAAGACTCCAACATCCTTTATACACTTACTATCTTTCCTGAGAGACCCATTATTGCTTCTCATGTTCTTCTATTTGAAAAGACAGGAAATGGATATAAAGCAGCCCTGACCGCTAGAAGTATAAGCTACCTAGGTGGGTTTAAACTTAATATTTTGAATAGTCACATTCAAAAAGCAGAAAAACAAGAACATTCAGCTTGACACCTTATGTGCAGCTCCCCCAAATATTATTTCACGTGCAATGTCAACATGCAAACTAAAATTGAGAGCTTTAACATCCCCCCCCCCATACTTTGAAGACCCAGTGTGGTTTTTATTCTTACAATACATTTCAACTAGGACCAGCCACACATGGCTGCATCGATAGTACAAGTTAAAGCACCTGTCCCCACAAGACGACTCCTTAATGTCCCCCCTTCCCAGCCATATACTCAGTGTATGATCCCTGTCAAACCAAGGGCTCCCTCATCCCACCTGTGTTGTTCTTCCTAAGATTCTGATGCAGCCGACTCGATCCCGATCCCATATCTGAGTAGGAATTCTTAGCCTAGGGTAGAGTGGGTTTAGCCAGTCTTTTCATCAAAAGCCTCTGTATGAGGGGACTGCCACTTATCTATAGTCTAAATCGTTCTCAGAGCACAAAATGAAATTTTGCACTTCTCTTTCTAAATCCTGCCTAGTCCTTTTGGAATAACAGATTGTACTAAATACCCTGCAGGGTTGTTGGAATATACTTCTCCCATAGCAACTAGAGTTTGGGAAAAATGGCTGGTGTCTTTCCTCCTGCACTTTGAAAGATAATTTTGTTCTAGGAAAATGGAGCATTAGGCCTACCGGCACCCACCCCTGGCACATGTGAAGTGTGCATCCGTGGTCAGCCTCTGATGGGAAGCCTCTGGTAACCGAACCAGCCTCCTTTTGAAATTTGTCATTTTACGATGACAGGTGATTGCTGACTTTCACATTTGGGGGGTGGGGGTGGAAGTGCATTATTTTAGATGACATTGAGAGTAACTACCATGTCCCATGGTAAACTTTTTATTGAGCTGTTTGCAACTAGTTCAGCTCAAGTCCTAGCTACTCTAGGTGAGACAAAGCTTTAAAATCTTATTCGTGCCTTAATAGAGTATATTAAAGACTTGAAAATTTATGTTTCACTGCAATCAGCTTGGACTTACATTTGGAAAAATCTATAATGCTTTGGTCTGTATGGTATAATGTGTAGCCCACAGTTAAATAACTTTACGGTGAACTTGAATGAAGATCAGGGAACTGAACCCAGTAGTGTTAAGAAGGTAAACTATTTTAACTGCATTATTGATAGAGCTGTATTATATTCCAGACAGCCTTGCACTCTGGGTTAAGAAACACCTTCATAGCTTATCTGTTCTTCCACATAAAGTACTTCCATTTTTCCTCCTTGATCACTACACTAAAATGACAGGCACCATTAGACGAGGACACAGATTTATTCTTGGCAGTGTAATGTTGTTTAAAAAACAACTAATACCGATGTCCAACAACATCTCATCCTAAAGCCTGACATTTCAACAGCATTTGAATCAGCCTGCCTGGTGTAATCTGTGGAAGAGGTGAAGCTATGCCACCTGAGACATGGCCATATTTGTTCATCTAACTCTGGGCTCTCTCTTCTCCCCTCTAGCCTTTCAAGTGAAGGTAGCTCTTCGTGTGCTCCCCAGAATTCATCTTAGCATCCTCCGAGATTGGGACAGCAGATTGGAGACCAGGCATAGAACCCTTTTGTCTTCCAAATGCTGAAACTGAGGCTAAGTCATTCCCCCAAGATCTCCAAGGGCAGGGAGATCTTGCCTTACTGCTCTGAATATGGAATTCCACCCTGAATTGGCAAACAAGCCTATCATTCCAGTCCAATGGAGTTTTCTTTGCCCCAGTTTTAGGCTCAAAT